TTCTTCTTCTTCTTCTTCACTATTCTCCTTCCTCAATCTCTGAATCTATTTCCCTGTTCTTCTTCTCAATCTGAATTCTAGATTCTCTTCTCTGAATCTCCCTTCTTCCCCCTTCTTCACATTCCTCTGCATTTCAATTTCTGTTTTCTATTTTCTATTTGTATTTTGCTGCAATTAGTGTAATTCTAATTCAATCAATGAAATGCAGTTTATATAATTTATGTTTGTTCAATTAATGAAGTTCCAGCTCGTGTGATTAATTATATTCAGTTGTGTGGTGATTGTGGTTGGAATTTAGCTTGTTTTGGTAGAAGTTGAGCTCCAACCATAACAGAATCCGAATTCGATGCTAACAAGGCTCCAATCCTTCCTACGAACGATTTGGCTTTTGACTTTGACTGGAGAGATCATGGTGTCGTCATGCTGGTTAAGAATCAAGTACGTTCATATCCGGATTTAGTATAATTTTTTACTAAGAATATCAAGGCGTTGAATTTTTATTTTTATTTTTTAGTGCTTAATTAGTTGATTATCTTTATGTAATTATGATTTTTGAGGTGTTGACTTGAAATGTTTTTAGTTTGGTTATCCCAATTCGATGCTGTAAACCTCTTCTTCAAGATGACTGCTATTCTTTGAGTTCTCGTCTTCATATACTGCATGCTCTGCACTAAAAATACATTTTTTAACAGTCAATTTGTCATGTTCTCCTTGGTATACTACTTTTGGTGATCGTTGAATGAATGGAATGTTTGCTCTCTCGTGATTCTCAGCATTGTGCATCATACATTCTCCACTATTACTTTTACACCTTAAAAGTTACATGCATCGATACTTTACATTTGGCACACTCGTTATTAGGTAATTAATTTATTATGGTTTATCTTTTTCCATTAGGTTTTACTTCTTTCGTGAATGGTTTCTAACTTTAGGCAGTTCGCATATCAGTTTTATACTTTAACTGAATTATGCACTTCTTTGAGTAAAAATCAGAGTATGCTAATAATATAACCTATACTTGCATGGCATCACTAAATTATCATGATTTAGTCGCCTACTCGATAAAGAGAGACTCGAATTCCATTTAATGTATACCTATACACTGCTTTTAACTCGTGGTTAACTTCTATCACCATAACTTTAAACATAAAAAGAAAAAGAAATTTTCCAAAACTGAAATTAGAGTAGACAAAATATGGTGGATTCCCTTATTTGAAAATGAACAAAAAGTCATTCTTCTAGCAAATTAAATTCTGGTTTGTTTCACTTAAATCCTTTTGCCACTATATTTGATTTATTGTTACATCAGCAGAAAGATCAAATAAAATCAAATATTTTGCAACTACATTAGGCCATGTAATTCTGGCCTACATTTGCATCTTCTAAGTTTGGGACAAAAAGACTTGTGAATGAGTGTTTCTTTAGGTGGACGTAAAACATGCCATCCACCTAAGTTGACCTTAATCTACATTTGATTTGTGCTCCCTGGCATATCATTACATAAAAATGGGGGGTGCAAAATGTTGGGATTTTTGGACA